TTATGTGTTTTTTGAGATTTTTGGGTTGCTTTCTGTTTTGTTGTTTTTATTATTTTTTGGGCGATTTGGGTGTATATCTTTTTTGTATTATTTTTCTTTATTTTTTTTATTTCTTGTTTTAGGTTTTTTACTTTTTGTACTTTTTTTTTTAGAAAATTATTTAATCTTTTAATTTCTAGAAATAGGTCTTCCCTATTTATTTCTTTTTTGCTATTATTGGAATCTATTGATATATTCTTTCTAAGTCTTTTTTTATAATATATAAATACATATTTTTATATTGCTAAAACCAATTCATCTAAAAACAAATTTGTTGGTATATTTTTTATTTTAAAATTAATCTTAGAAAAGTATAGTTTAAATTAAACAAAAAACCCCCTTTTTTTTTTTATATAGTAGACGATCACAATTTTTATATATTTTTTTTTATCATAATTGTTTTATATCAGTTTCTATATTATTTTTATTTTTATAATATTTTTGTATAGCTCTTCCCGCTCTTTTGATTGATATAATTTTATTTGGTTTTGGATACTTCGTTCAAACGTTATGGGGGGGTTGTTCGTTCCGAAGGTCGATTCCCAAAAATCAATATAATAATTATTAAAAAATTAAACATCAAAATTTTAAATACAAAAAAAATACAAAATACAAAATTTACACTTTAAAACATAAAACCTATCTCCATAAATACATAATATACAATAAAAAAAAAAACCATACAAACACACTAAAATAAAATATATATTATATAAAAAAAATCATTTTACAAATAAATACACAAAAAAAATAATAACAAAAATCAAAAAAACCAAAATTAAAATAACAAATCATATAAAAATTTATCAACATAATTACAACATATTTACAAATATAATACAAAATATATTTAATTTTATATTTAAAAATAAAATAAACATTATCTTTTTTTAAAAACCATAATTTTTAAAAAAAAAAAAAAAAAAAAAAAAATATAATTTCATATTTAAAATTTAATTTAATTTATCTAGTTTATAAAAAAAAAAAAACTATAAATAATTACTTTTTTTTAAAAAAATATTAAATATAAAATTTTAAATTAAATAAATTTAATTAATAATAAAAATTATTAAATTATAAAATTTAAATTAAATAAATTTAATATATTCAAAATTTTTAATATTTATAATAAAAAATAATAAACAAATTTAAAAATAATAAACACAACAAAATTATATATAATAAAAAAATTATATAAAAAAATTTTCTTAAATTATAAAAATAAATATTTAATATTAAAAAATTTTAATTTATATTATTCTTTATAAAATTTAAAATATATTAATAAATTAAAATTTAAAAAAATAATAAAATTAATTAAAAACAAAAAGTTATAAATTTTAAATAATTTAAAAATATTAACTTATCATTATTAAAAGAAAAATATAAATAATTTATTTATATTAAATTTAACTCTAACTACAAACTCAATAATTAATTTTATTAAAAAATAAAAAGTTAAAAATAAAATAAATATTAAATTAAATTATGAAATAATTTTATTTTATATATTACAATTAATAAATCTAATAAATACTCTATTATCTACCAATAAATATAATTAAAAAAAAACAAATTAAAAAATCTTTTAAAAAAAATTATTAAAATTAAATAAAAATTTAAACAAAAATAATTTCTAAAATAATCTATTTTTTTCATTTAATAAAAATAAAATAAAAATAAAATAAAAACTAAAATAAATAGTAAATTTATTTTAAAAAAATTTAATTAATATAATAAAAATATTAATATTAAAATTAATAATTATATTAAAATTTAAAATATAATAAAATTAACAAATAAATAAAAATAAAAAAAATACTATAAGAAAAAAATTTTTAAAAAAATAATAAATTATAAAAAAACTAGAATTTATTTAAAAATAAAAGAAATATATATTTTAAAATAATAAAAAAATTAAAACAAAAATTTTAAAAAAATTATCTAATAAATATAAAAGATAAAAAAAATTTTAATATATTAAAATATATGAAATTAAAAAAAACATAAATAATTCTTAATTTAAAATTTAAAAAAAAAAAAATATCAAATTTTAAAAAAAAATTAAAAATATTAAGAAAAATATTATTTTTAAAATTTTTAATTTATAAAAAAAAAAACAGCTTTATAATCTTAAATAAAAAAAAGATAAAATGGGAAAAAATTATAAATAAAAAAATTGAAAAAACTATATTTATTTTAAATTTTAAAAAAATATTAGGTTTAGATGGAATAAATTTTTTATGTTTTAAAAAAGTATATAAAATAATTTTAAAAAAGTTTAATAATTTATTTAATAAATTATTAAATTATAATTATTATTTAATTTATTTTAAAAAAATAATTGGGGTAATATTACTAAAATTAAATAAATTAAATTATAATATATTAAAAACTTATAAAATTATAAATCTTTTAAACTATTTGGAAAAAGTATTAAAAAAAATAATAATAAAAAGAATAACTTTTTTATCAAAAATTTATAATATATTGGATTTAGAACAAATTAATAACAAAAAATCAAAATCTGCAATTAATATAGCTCTATCCTTAAATAAAATATATATTAAATAGAATCGACTTTCAGAATAAACGATCCCCTTATAACTTTAAAATAAAATATTTAAAATTAAATAAAAAAATATTTTTCAAAAACTTTTAAAATAAAGAGTAAATATATTAAAAGATAAAATATAAATTAAAAAGATGAAAGAAAAATTACAAAATAAAATTCTAAAAATCTTTTATGATTATTTATATATAAAATAAAAAGAAGTAATAAAAAGAATATTAAAAATATTATAACTTTTTTAAATTAAGTCTTAAAAATAAATATGCTAAATGATTTTTTAATAAATAAATTAATTTTAATTATTTAATTAATTAAATAATAAAATAAAATATAAAAAAAATGATTGTTGATTAATTTAAATTTAAAAATTTATAATATAGAAAATTTAATAATTTAAAATTAAAAATTAAAATAAATAATTGAAGAAAAGGAAGAAGAAATTTAGAATTTTAAAAAAAAAATAAAAAATAATAATTTAAAAAAATAAAATATATATAGAAATAATAAAAAAAATTATAAAAATAATAGAAATAATAAAAATGATAAAAATAATGAAAATAATAATTTTAATTTAAAAAATATTAATATAATTTTATTAAAAATAATGATGAATAAATATAAAAAAATAATAAATGTTATATTAAAAAAAAATAATTTAGAAATTAATATATCTAATATCTTATTAAATAAAAAAAAAAATTTAATATTAATAATAAATAAAAATATAAATCACAAAAAAATTTTAAAATTCAAAAATAAAATTTTTAAAAAAATTATTAAAATAAATAAATTTATTTAAAAGTTATTAAAAATAAAAGCTTAAAATTTTATAATTATACATAAAATATAAACAAAAAAAAATTAAAATAAAGAAAAATTAATTTTTTTATAAAAAAAAATGAAAAAAGATAATTTTAAAATATTTTTAATAAAATTATTAAAATAATTAATAAATAAAAAAAAATTATAAAATAAAAAAATTTTTTTTAATAATTTTAATAATAAAAATAAAAGAAATAATATTTAATATTTTAAAAAAAAAAAATTTTATATAAAAAAAATATTTAAAAATAAAATAATATTATAATCTTAATTTTAAAAATTAATATAATAATTATTAAAAAATTAAATATTAAAATTTTAAATATAAAAAAAATATAAAATATAAAATTTATATTTTAGAACATAAAACCTATCTTCATAAATATATAATATATAATAAAAAAGGGAAATTATATAAACACACTAAAATAAAATATATATTATGTAGAGGAAATTATTTGGCAAATAAATGTATAAAAAAGAAAAATAATAAAAATTAAGAAAATTAAAATTAAAATAATAAATTATATAAAAGTTTATTAATATAATTATAATATATTTATAAATATAATACAAAATATACTTAATTTTATATTTAAAAATAAAATAAACATTATTTTTTTTTAAAAACCATAATTTTCAAAAAAAAAAAAAAATATAATTTTATATTTTAGATTTAATCTAATTTATCCAATTTATAAAAAGAATAAGCCACAGATGATTATTTTTTTTTTAAAAAATATTAAATACAAAATCTTGAATTAAATAAATTTAATTAATAATAAGAATTACTAAATTATAAATTTTAAATCAAATAAATTTAATATATTCAAAATTTTTAATATTTACAACAAAAAATAATAAATAAATTTAAAAATAATAAATATAATGAAATTATATTATTATTATTATTATTATTTATCATACACGCATGCAACCTTTCGGTTATGGCGGATTGTAGATATCTAACTATAGATAATAATATAAAAAGAAGTAAATACAAGTTAAATTCTTTTTATATGATTAAAATGTTTGGAGATTTTTAGAATTATTTTTAAAATTTATTTATAAATAAAATTTCTTTGTATATAATTTTATTATTTTAATTAGTAAAAAATGCTGTATATTTATTATTTTTACTTATTTACTTTAATATAATATTAAAAACTTTTTTATTATATTTAAAACAATTTACAAGTATAAATTTTAATTATAGATTAAATTTCTTAAAATTATTACTGTTTTTATACTTTTATAATTAAAATCTAGTTCTATTATAAATAAAATTAGGCTGTTAGTATTGTTATTATTGTAATATATTTACATATATCCTTTATAAAATAGAGATTATTGTTTTTTATTTTTATAGTAGTTAAGTTTATTGTTTAATAATTATATAAGTAAAATATTTTAATTTAACTAGGTATGATTTTTAAAGAGAAAAGTGTTGATTAGATAATTAGTGTTGAGGTACGACTTTTAATAAGGTTTAAAATAATTTAAAAGTGTTAAATATACTTTATAAAGCTGTCTTTTTTAGTGTAGAAAAACAACTTATTTTTGTGGGAGAAGGTGGCAGGAATCGAACCTACGCAGTAGGGAAAAGAGAAAAAAACCTCTGCTTCCAGGTACAGCACTACACCACTGTACCACACCTCCAATGAAATTATATATAATAAAAAAATTATATAAAAAAAATTTTTTAAATTATAAAAATAAATATTTAATATTAAAAAATTTTAATTTATATTATTTTTTATAAAATTTAAAATGTATTAATAAATTAAAATCCAAAAAAATAGTAGAATTGATTAAAAATAAAAAATTATAAATTTTAAATAATTTAAAAATATTAATTTATTATTATTAAAGGAAAAATATAAGTGGTTTATTTGTATTAAATTTAATTTTAATTATAAATTTAATAATTAATTTTATTAAAAAATAAAAAATTAAAAATAAAATAAATATTAAATTAGATTATGAGGTAATTTTATTTTATATATTATAATTAATAAACTTAGTAAATATTTTATTATTTACTAATAAATATAATTAGAAAAAAATAAATTAAAAAATCTTTTAAAAAGAATTATTAAAATTAAATGAAAATTTAAATAAGAATAATTTTTAAAATAATTTATTTTTTTTATTTAATAAAAATAAGGTAGAAATAAAATTAAAATTGGAGCAAGTAATAAATTTATTTTAAAAAAATTTAATTAATATGGTAGAAATATTAATACTAAAATTAATAATTATATTAAAATCTAAAATATAGTGGAATCAATAAATAAATGAAAAAAGAAAAGAAATGTTGTAACAAAAAAAATTTTAAAAAAATAATAAATTATAAAAGAATTAAAATTTATTTAAAAATAAAAGAAATATATATTTCGAAATAATAAGAAAATTAAAATAAGAATTTTGGGAAAATTATTTAATAAATGCAAAAAATAAAGAAAGTTTTGATGTATTAAAATATATAAAACTAAAAAAAATATAAATGATTTTTAATTTAGAATTTGGAAAAAAAAAAACGTTGAATTTTGAAGAAAAATTAAAAATATTAAGAAAAGTGTTATTTTTAAAATTTTTAGTTTTTTAAAAAAAAAAATAGTTTTATAATTTTAAATAAAAAAAAGATAAAATAAAAAAAAATTATAAATAAAAAAGTTAAAAAAGTTATATTTATTTTAAATTTTAAAAAAGTGTTAGGTTTAAATAGAATAAATTTTCTATGTTTTAAAAAAGTATATAAAATAATTCCAAAAAAATTTAATAATTTATTTAATAAATTAATAAATTATAATTATTATTTAATTTGTTTTAAAAAAGCAATTGGGGTAATATTATTAAAATTAAATAAATTGGATTATAATATATTGAAAATTTATAAAATTATAAGTTTTTTAAATTATTTAGGAAAAGTATTTAAAAAAATAATAATAAAAAGAATAGTTTTTTTATTAGAAATTTATAATATATTAAATTTGGAATAAATTAATAATAGAAAATTAAAATTTGTAATTAATATAGTTTTATCTTTAGTGAATGATGTAGAAATAGTAAAAAATGGAAAATTTTTAATTTTTATTTATTTTTAGATGTAAAAGAAGTTTTTGATAATGTTTTAAAAATAAGATTGATTAATATATTAAAAGATATGGGATTGCTAACTTAGTTATTAAATTGGGTTGAAAATTTTATATTAAATAGGTATATTAAATTAATTTTTGATGGATAAATGGAAAAAAAATTAAATTTAGTAGAAATTGGAATATTTTAAGGGTTATTTATATTTTTAATTTTATTTTTTTTATATTGAATATTTTTTTTTAAAAAATTAAAAATAAAATATTTATTTATTAAAATATCTTTTTATATAGACAATGTGGCAATAATGGTTTAAAATAAAAAAATTGAATAAAATATTAAAGAATTGGAAAGAATATTAAAAATAGTTTTTTTATGGGTTGAAAATAATGTAGTGGTATTTGATGATGTTAAATTTGAATTAATTTATTTTTATTTTAGATATGGGGAAGAAAATAAAGTGGTTTTATCTAACAATATAGAGATAATATTATTAAAAATTATTAGATGGTTGGGAGTTTTTTTTGATATAAAAATGAATTTTAAAATTTATGTTAAAAATAAAATATTTGTAGTAGAAAAAATATTTAATTATATTTAAAATCTAACCAATTTAGAAATTGGATTAAATTTAAAAGTATTTATATAATTTTATAAAAGTTGTGTATGTTTTGTATCTGATTTTGGAGTTGAAATTTAGTAAAAAAATTAAAATTTATTAATTAAGAGGTTTAAAATATTTTAAAATAAAATGATAAGAAAAATAATAGGTGTTTTTAAAATAATTTTAATAAATTTTATGGAGGTTGAAGCGTCTATTTTACTATTAGAAATTAGATTAAATGGTATACAAAAAAAATATGCGTTAAAAACATTCTTCTTGAATAAAAAATATCTAATTAGATTGAGGGTACTAGATTCTTTCCCACCAAAAAATTTTTTTGGAAAAAAAATAGAAGAAGATGATTTAAAATATTTAAAATAAAATAAAAATAAAATAAAAAGAAAAAAATATTATAAAACTACATTAAATTTTATTTTGTTTAGAATTAATTTTTAAATAAATCCATATACAAAAATTAAAAAAATTAATCTAAAATTAAAACTTTTATAATTTAAAACTAATATTAATTTTTATATAAATAAAAATAGTAAAGAACTAAAAGCAAAAACATACAAAAAAAAGAAAAAATATTTAAATTTAAAAAAGAATTTAATTATTTATTTTGATAAATTTTTTTAAAATTAAAAAATAATATAAAATCAATTAAAATTGGATATTATAAAAAAATAAATTAAAAATCTATTTTTAAAATCTCAAAAAGTTTAAATAATGAAATAAAAATTTACAATATAAAATTAATTGTAATATATAAAAACCTTAGGTAAACTAAATTAATTATAATAAAAAATAATAAAATAAAAGAAATCTATTTGTTTATCAACAACTAAACTGCAATAAAAAAACTAAAGTTATTAAAAATAGGTTTAAAATAAAAAATAATCTTAAAAATTTGGTTTTTGTATAGCAAAATTTAGTTTTATAACATAAAAATAAATATTAATTAGGTATTAAAATATATAAAAATAAAAAAAAATGAAAAAGTAGATTATTTAGTTAAAAAAGTTACAAAAATTCAAATTAAAAATCCTTTTACTTCTTATTTTTTTTTAAAAAAAAATATAAGATTACAAAATCTTATAAAATAAAAAAAAAACTAGAAAATAAATAAAACAAAACTAAATTATTTTAATTGTTTAAAATTGAAAAAAAATAAAGTTTTATAAAAATCAAATAATAAAATTAATTTAATAATAATTTAATTAAGAACTAATTATAGATATTTTAATAGTTATTTTTATAAAATATTGAAAGATATTATTAATAAAAATTATTCATGTAGTAAAATATTCTAAATATCAAAATATCTCTTACTATATTATAAAAAATATAAAAAAAAAAAAAAATATTAAAAAAGAAAATAAATAAAAAATTTATAAATATAAAATTTTTATTATTTAATAATATAAATCTATAACATATAATAAAATTTATAAAAAAGATTAAGATTATATAGAAAAGTAATTAAAAAAAAAAAACTAAAATTAAAATAAAACAAAAAAATCTTAAAAAATAGATTTATATTTTAATTAAAAAATTTCAAAAGATTAATTGTAAAATTGTAGGTAAAAAATATTAGAGTAGAATTAATAATTTTTTTTTTAATAAGAGAAAAAAAATAATAAGTATAAAAGGGAAGAGATTTTAAGAAAAATGATGGAAAAAATAAAAAAGTTAAAAAAGATCGAAGAAAGATAAAATAGATTAATTGTGTTGATTTATTTAATTTTTAAATTAATTTTTATTTAAAATTATGATTTTCATTTGTTTTATTTGTTATTTGAAATTTTGGGTGTGTTGTAAAGAAAATTCTTTTCTGTCTGCCATAAGCTACTAGCTTGTATGCGTGTATGATACATAATAATAATAATACTTCAAAATAAAATAATAAAAAAAATAACAAACACCTTCAAAACAACTCTAATAAATCTCATAAAAATTAAAACATCTATTTTATCACCAAAAATTAAATTAAACAATATACAAAAAAAATATACATTAAAAACACTCTTCCTAAATAAAAAATATTTAATTAGATTAAAAATACTAAATTCTTTCTTACCAAAAAATTTTTTTAAAAAAGAAATAAAAAAAAATAACTTAAAATATTTAAAATAAAATAAAAATAAAACAAAAAAAAAAAATATTACAAAACTACATTAAATTTTATTTTATCTAAAATTAATTTTCAAATAAATCCATACACAAAAATTAAGAAAATTAATCTAGAATTAAAACTTCCATAATTTGAAACTAATATTAACCTCTATATAAATAAAAATAATAAAAAACTAAAAACAAAAACACACAAAAAAAAAAAATATATTTAAATTCAAAAAAAAATTTAATTATTTATTCTAATAAATCTCTTCTAAAATTAAAAAACAATATAAAATCAACTAAAACTAAATATTATAAAAAAATAAATCAAAAATCTATTTTTAAAATCTCAAAAAGTTTAGATAATAAAATAAAAATTTACAACACAAAATTAATTACAATATATAAAGACCTTAAACAAACTAAATTAATTATAATAAAAAATAATAAAATAAAAAAAATCTATTTATTTACCAACAACCAAACTACAATAAAAAAACTAAAGTCATTAAAAATAAATCCAAAACAAAAAATAACTTCAAAAATTTAATTTCTATATAACAAAATCCAATCCTATAACATAAAAATAAATATTAATTTAAAATTTAATTTATTTTAAATTAAAAATAAAATTAATTTTTTTATAAATAATATACCCAAGGATTTAAAAGTAGAAAATTATAAAAATAAAAAAAAAGTTAAATTAAATTTTAAAAAAAACTTACTTATTTATACAAACAATTCTATACTAGAAATAAAAAATAAAAATAAAAATAATAATAAAAAAAAATCCTTAAAAACAGAAATATATAAAAAAATAAACAATAAATTTATTTTTAAA